CTGGGAGTTGGGAGGCAGCCCCTTTCAGCAGCAGCGTGGTCTGGGGTCTCCTTAATTAAGATAGTAAATTAAGGTATATTTTTAGAGCACTGACACTTGGGATTTATGCACTCTGCTTGTGTTGGCATCCTCTGTTCCAAGGAAACGTCCTCCCTGCAGCTTCCTTGAAGGCAGAAAGACCCTCAGATCCCTGTGAGGTGGATGGTGCCTGCTGACAGCCCACGGGGAACGTGCTGCCAGTGGAGACTCAGAGGGATGCAAGGGATGCAGCAATGCCAGAGCTTGGTCCTGTTTGAAAGGATGTCCCAAGAGGGAGATGAAGCGTTGATTCCTTGGATTTCCTGTTGGGCACAGTTCTGGGTCAGGCCTGCTTGTCTCACAGAACTCTCACGTGTCTTGCAAATACATGTGAAGGGTGAAGGACTGTGGGTTGTGTGAGATTTCAGCAAGGAAAGATCCAAACAATGCTGGAACGTCAGATGGGATAATAAAGGTGCCAGATGAGGAGCAGGGTTGGGTGGTGTTGCACAGCCTGAGGTTTTGAACTGTAACATTTGGAAGGTGCAGAAAGGTTGCCCCACAGAGCAGCACTGATGGTGTAACTGCTGCCCACAGTGGGTTAGCAAAGCCTGGTGGTTTCCCAAACCATGGAGGAGTTGTTGCTGATTTCTTAATTTGAGAGCAGCTGGAGGGAAAAAGCAGGACTTTGGGATGGAGGCAGCCTGATGTAGGAGTCTAGTTCTGAACCTCTTTTGCAAACAATGTTCATTTAAAAAAAGCGTTGCCAGTGTCTTGATGGAGTTGGCTTGGCCCAAGAAATGTGTCATTGCAGCAGCTCTTGTGCAGTGCTTTGAGAGACTGAGGCAATCTTGTATTTCTAATGGTCCTGCGCTGTAGCAGTTGGATTAATTTTGCAGGATGCAAGGCTCCCGTGTTTTTCTAAAAAAACAAAACAAAACCCCAAGGAATTTCAGCTTGTTCGTAGATGGGATCCAAACAGACCTCCCTTCAGGTGAAACTGGGAAATTTCTGTGTCTCTGAGGCTGTTCTGTGCTGAGATGAAAAAAAAATGAGATTCAGTGTCTAGAATTGCTGTTAGATAACTAATTGGAAAAGCCAAAGTCTTGCTTGTTAAATCTTGTCAGTCCACTCAGTGAGACCTTGGTACCTGCTGTAACTACAGCGAGACCTTTGAAGTGACATCTCTTGACAGGATCCAAATCTCTTTCGAGGGGTTTGCCAGGTTGGGGGGATTTGGGTTGTTAGAGCAGCACTGCCGTGGGTCAGCAGTGCCTGGGTGAGTGGGGCTGCTGAGCTGGCACAGGCTCCTCGTGCTTCCCCTGGCACAGGAAACGCTCCCTGAGCATCCCAGAGATGTCCCCAGGGCCCGGCTCAGGGTGGGGGGAGCCTTGGCTTTGATGAGCTCTTCGTGTCCTCAGCAACATAAAACCAGGCACAGGCATCCAGCCTGATTGGAATGTGAGTGGTGAGTCATTCCCCGAGGAGGATCTTGCTCCAAACCATCATTCCACAGTGCAGCAGTTCCTTTGGGCTGCTCCAGGCACACCCTGCCCGTGCTGGTGGCACTGAGGGGGTGGCCTCCACTCGAAAATTCATTCCAGTTATCAGCCTTGCTGAAAAAAAGGCAATCAGAGCATTGCTGGGATTCCCTGCTCCTGATTTATTTATAGGTCTGGAGCACTGCTGAGAGCAGCAGGAAGGAGAAAGTCCTGGGCACACAGGGAGCATGGATGGCTTTGAGATCATCCCTGTGCTGGTGCACTGACCATCCCAACACCCTCTAAACCCGTCCCTTAGCACGATCACTGGCACATGGTGCACAGAGTTTGCAGCCAGAATAAATTTAAAGTCACTGTCTGAAGTGTGGGACAGATGGGATAATGGGTCTACTGGAATATCTCAGTTTATTTATTAAAATTTGGGAGGATACCAAAGTGGGCAATGGCTATTATGCCTCACTTGCAAGACTGAGTGAAGCATTTTTCTATTTCTTTAATCTTGGGCAGTTACAGCTCTGTTTATTTATTTATTCATCACAAGGCAGGTAAAGCCTGTGATGGAAAATATTGACTGTCAAAATCAGAAGTCAAGTCTTGGGCTTTGAATCTTCTGTGATAAGGATGTCTAAAGATCTATCTTTTGTGCAGGTTATCCTTATCAGACCTATTTCTTAATGGAAAATAAGCATAAATAGCCTTAAGTGCGCCAAAGTCTATTTTAATTACTGTATTCTTGTAAATATTGAAACATTAATATTTTAAAGAAGAGCTGCTTTTAAAATACAGGCTGGGAAGAAGGGGTTGTATCTCACCATTGAGATCACTTTCCAGGCTGTGAAAGTCAGAATTACGTGCACCATATTAAATATGGTTTTTGGACCTGCAGCAGAAAATGCAGGTATTTTACTGTTTTGTCATGTGCGTGTGATTTTTTCCTTTCTCTTGTGCAAGAAAGCTTTCCTGTGGTTTTTTTTTTTAATTCTGTTTTTTGCTGATGTATGAAAATAGAACTTAATAAGAAAACTGTTAAACTCCCTGTAAATATCAGGGGCATATTGGACTGGATTTTTAGATATTTAGGCATCTAAAAGGCGGCAAATAGGTTCACTTTTGTTCATTTTTTCTCCTTTTCTGCTTCCATGGAAGTCAGATATCAGACCTCCAGCATTTCACAGAATATCCTGAGTTGGAAGGGACCCACGAGGATCATCATTCCAGAGTTGTTCTGGAAGCTTCAAAAGCTTCTGGTTGTGGTTTTTTTCCACCTGCAGATGCTGAATTTTTATGTCTGTTTATTATTGCAGTTAGCAGCAGCTTTACATTTCTTAACCTAAATGCTATGAATAATGTGTGTTTAGAGTATTGATCTATCAAGCACCCTTAAGGTCTGCATTTGACTTGGAGGTTTATATTTCAACTTCAATTAGAATAAGTCATAAAGACATCTTCTTTGGCAATTCTCTTTGGTTTAAATAAATGTGAAACCATATGAACTCGGTGGTTATTGACAGGCTGTGTGTTTTCAGGGGTAGAGTGGGAGTTGTGATTATACAGCTGGATAGAAGTGCAGGGAAACCTCACTGGGTAAGGGTGGCATTTCAGGAAAATCAAATAGGAATGGTGAATGTATTTAGAGCTGACTGTTCTTAATGAGTTTTCCTGCCTGGTGGCTTGACTTACTGAAGCTGGAGATTCTTGAAATGGCCTGGATTTTAAGTCATACATCCCAAATCTCATTTTTGTTGCAATAACTAAACCCAGCCACGAAGAAAAGGGAAGGAGGTTTTGCCAGGCTTGATTAAATCCAGTAACATTTACTTTTTCTCTGGTTTGAAAGTGGATAGAACTTACATTTCTGCTCTTGAGTGTTTAATCTGTAGGAACTGCAGCTTGACCTAAGCATCAGTTGCTGCTCCCAAACTCCTTTACCCCTTTCCCCTTCTGTGTTTTTTACACTTCGACATGTTTTCCTTGTTATCATGCCTGTGCCTTTGTAGGTGCCCGAGTTCACGTGGGTTGGAATATTTTCTTTTTCCAGATGTATCTTTGCTGCTCTGAGTGCTGGAGGGGAAGCTGGGCTGAAAAGGTTGTAGTGTGGAACTTGCTTTTTGTTAGAGCCACGGCGAGCTTTAGTGACATTGGAAAAATGTTTCTTTCCCTCCCTGTCCCAAATGCAGGCTGAGGGTTGCTGTGACATTCCTCACAGGCCCAGGGCTCTCAGGGAAAATCCCCAAAGTCTGGATGGTGAGGCACTGCCAGGGCTCACCTGCTGATCCACACCAGGTTCTGTCTCTGCACAAGGTCTGCTCTTTCCCCCTCTGATAAATAACCTCCCTTAAAGTTCAAATGACAATTAAGAGTAGGTTTTTTTCCCAGAATTTCAAGTTCCTTACAGAACTATGTGCCCAATCACCCTCTGAAACAGCTTGCATGGAAATAACACGGCTCATAAGTGGTTTAAGTGATTTACCTTGGCATTATCAGGTAGCAGTTCTGTTGTGGTACCCGTTGTGCTCCCTGCAGTGGCTGCATGGTGCAGTGATGAGGTGAAATGAGGTGGGCAAATGCAGGTTGTTAAATGGTCTGGGATATCTGTTTTCTGAGCTCTGGTTTTATTCAGCAGCTAGAACAGTGCAGGGGGAGGAGGACCTGAAATCTCCACAAGCAGAATTATTGACCTCAGGTTTTCTCCTCAACGAATGTCTGAGGGTACACCTAAAAATGACTTTGCAAAGTGGCACAGCAATTTGAGCCGGGCTTCTGTAAGCCTGGATTGGTGGAATGACACCTCAGCTGATTCCCATCTGTTCTTGGGATGTGTCCCTTGTAGCTCTGCTCTTGGGCAGAGGGGCTGTGGGCACACAACACTGACACACATCCTGGTGTTTGCCCTGTTTCCAGCAGTGCCAACGTGGGGCAGCAAATAGCTGCTGAAGTCACAGCTATGGGACAGCTTTGGCTGTCCCTGAAATCCTTGGGAAGCATGACCAGCACCCTTGCCAGCACACCCTATGAAAGCTCATCCCTCACCCCGTGTCCCCCCTTGGAGTTCTGCCTTGGAAAGGGCACGTGCTCTCCCAGAACCCTCCCCTCGTGTCCCTGCAGGGCTGGCAGGGGGGTCCAAATGTTTAACACAAACATTGCCCTAAAATCTTTCTTCGGTAATTGTGCTGAGCAGTTTTTGCTCTCCAATTTAATCAACTGTTTTATCCTCACTTCAGGCTGCAGGTAACAGACTGAACTGCGTGTTTTGGATCTTGTCCCTCTTGCATTATTCATAGCCTGTTGTCTCTGTTCTCAGCTTGCCAGATGAATTACCTCTGTTTTCAATAGTTAAGCTTGAGTTATTCGTTTTTCAGCCTGTGTAATACTTAAGCAATTCCCAGGCAGATTTGGAAGTGAACTTCTGGAAGACACAAGGTTTAGGATCTCATTGATCTTGCATCCACTGGTGCATCAAAATGGCAGGACCCGTTTGAGGGGAGAGCACACCAGGAGGAACTTAGATTTGAAGATTGTAACTTGTCTCTCCCACAAACCATTTTTTTTTTCTTTACTGGCACTATTAGAAAACCAGTTTCTTTTAATCTTCCCCTGATGACTCATCTATGCTTTGATACTATAAGGCTGTTTAATACCAGAAGTTGTATACTCTGCTTTTTGGCAGTAGAACTGAAGCGTTAGAGGGTTTGACTGCAGTAACAGTGTCCTGGCAGTGTATCCTTGTGCAGTGGGGAGAGGGATGGCTGAGGGGCACGAGGGGTTTGGGGGAATAAAGCAAGAGCTGGTAGCACTGAGAATTCCCCCTTGGTGTAAAAGGGAAATTTATTTTACAGGGAGCAAGACAGAAATAAAAACGGTGGTTTGGAGCTGGATAGTGTGTTTTGACCCGTGTACTTCTCACTTTGAGCTGGACAATCTTATTTGGGCTTGATGTTGGTGTCAGATCCTTCCTGAGGAAGAATAAAGTTGATGGTCTGGAGGAAGGAGCTGTCTGTGGGCAGGCACGTGGATAAATCACTTGCTTTGTACCTGAATTGGCTCTTTCCTACATGAGGACTTTGAATGGAGAGAACTGAATGAGTGGTTTAAGTGCTGTGCAAACAGAGGGTTGTAGAGAGGAGGCAGCGACCACTTGAGAAACTACACAGTGAGTTTGCACTCGTTATTCCTTTAAATAGGAAAATAAGTGTTTTCAATTCAGAGATCATTCTCGAGCAGCTCCCCGTGTAGGAGGGTGAAGAGTGTGTGTGCATTCACATGCCCATGTCAGGGAGCTGTTCTGCAGTGTCTGTCTTGTTATTCCTCTGTTTTTAGCAGGTCCTTGAAAATAGTTTTGTGATTAATGGAACTGTTTCTGACCACCACAAAGCACTGATCTCATGGATAAACTTGCTTAGAAAGTACTTTATTATTGTAGCAAATTTAGCCAAGCATTGAAACACTTCTTTTTTTTTTTTTTTCTTGTTTCTGTGCCAGAAATATTTTAACTCCATTAAATATCTTTGGATATCTTTGTATGAGCCAGTGATAACTTTTCTTATGTCCATGAGCCAAGAAGATAATGAAGGTTGCACAGCTCAGTAAAATGTTTTTCTTGGCCCTTGCTGCTGTAAGGAAATGCCTGTGGAAGTTTCCTTGGATTGAAATATGGAGCAATTAGTGGTGGAATAACAGGGAGACAAGGACACCTGGAGAGGGTGGACGTCAGGAGAGCCTGTCAGGAGCCCTGGGGTGCAGCACTGGGGTTTGGCCAGTCCCTGTGGGATGTACTGGGCTGGGAACTCGGAGCAGTGGAAGCAGGCATTGGTTTCCTTCCCCTGGGAAACTGGACTTGCAGCTGTAAAATGTTAAAATAAGTATGGCTGGTACCTGGGGAGAGGGAAAGCTTGACGTGACTGGGAAGGCTGTCAGGAGATGAGGTTTTCCCCTTGCTGAGCATGTGCAAATGTGCCAGGGAAAGAGGAATGCTGGAGCAGCGTGTCTGTGATCCCTGTCCTGCTCCCAAAGGATGGGTTCCAGCTTCAGCTGCTGCCCCCCTCCAGCCACGTGTGCTGTGTGAGAGGATGGCACTGACACCTGCACAGTTTTCTGTGGCCCATTAAGAGTGCCCAAAATGAGGTGTGCTGAGGTCAGGTGAGTGTTTTCAGGGCCATACAGAAACAGGTTTCAGTCTGTACCTGGCATTTAATAACTGATTCCATTTGGAGGCAGGTTTTGAGCCGTGTCTGTCACACTTCTTACTGCTGGCTCTGGTGGTGTGGTTGAGTTTTTTCCTGAAGAACTGCACCTGAGCCACCATATCTTCTTTCTCTTCCAGAGATACAGTTTGTTTTCCCTGTTCAATGTGATTTGAGCTCTTACATGTGCTATTCTTTAAACTGGTGACTAGCAGAGGCATGTTCCACTCAAATTTTAAGCCAAAGCTGGTAGTCTTTGACAAGGCTTTTCACTTTAACACTAACTCTTGACCAATCCTGCAGTTATAAAGAGGAAGCTTTAGCTTCTTTATGTTTTTCCCTGTGTGTATGGAGGGAGTGCAGGATGTGGTTGTGTTTAAGGGGGTGTGTGCTGTACATGGTGCCATGAACTGTGTTTTGAGGATGCTGAGCTCAGGAGTGGAGGGAGGGAGTGGTGAACAGGGCAGGGCAGACCCTGTTGGCCAGGAGCAGTTGCCAGATGGTGACAGCTGAGGAAAGAGCTGCACGTGGAACATGAGAGATTGCCTGAGAAATGGCACAGCCCAAACATGCATCCATGGGAATTTAAGCTTGTTCTGAAAAAATATTATTAATAAACCCACATGACTGTGCTCTGTTAGTCAAGTTCCAGCCACACTGGCCCGCTGCCTTTATGTGATCCTGTTGTTGGGTTTGAGGACTCAGAAGGAGCTGCCTCCCTTCCACTGTGCTGCCTGTGCCCAGCAGACACGTGTGGGTGCTTTGATGGTGCCTGTCACTCTTGTTTTGGACAGAAATGGGTTGCTGATCTGAAAGGCTGGTTACCCACACTTCATGGTGGTCACCAGTGTGCTTATACCAGCAGTATTACTCCAGCTTCAGACACCCTGGGAGGTGTGCTTGCCACAGGGACTGTAAACGTTTGATTCCTGCTAGAGCCCTTGCTGCTTGTTTAACAAAAAAGGAAAACACAATTAGGGTTGGAAAACTATAGTCTGAAATATGTATGAACTGGTTGAATAAAATCTCCCTTGTCCTGTAGATGTATGAGAGTTGTATCTGTTGCTTGCTCCATGTAGTGAATCGGATGGTGTTTCTCCTTAATAAGGGGGAAAAATTCAGGGGTGGAAATCCACTGGCTCAAAATAAAAGAGGGAAACAGTCCTCTTGCTCATCTTTGGGGGTTTTTTTTGTCTGTTTCATTGGTTGGGTTTTTCTTTTGGTTTTGTTTGGTTGGAGTTTTGTTTGTTTGTTTTGGTGTATTAATATTTGTGAAGTTTTGGGGTTACTCGAAGCCCCTAATTTTTATTTTGTAACAATAAAAAAAAAGTTTAAAAATATCTCTGCTCTTTCAGGAGGGTTCTTCAGAATTGTTTGTGTTTTAGTGGCATGAATATTCATGGCCTTCCCTGAATTTGCTCTCCCATCTTGCTCCTGTGTGGCAGAAGCTCCAAACGCTCCCAGGCTCTTGCAGAAATGTTGTTGTAACTCCACAAATCATGATCTCAGCAAGAGTTTTAGGTGACTCTGTGTGCTTTCCCCTGTTGATACAACTTGTTCCCTGGCTGTGGTGGTCCCTTCTAAAATGACCATGGTGACTCCATGGAGATGCTCTCACTCTGTGCCCCCCAAAGTGCTGCACTTAGCTGCCACATTAAGGCAAAATAAATAGCTGCTGCAGTGAACAGCAAAGCACTGACAGTCTGTGCTGTATTTTAAGGTCAGGTCAGTAAAGGAGACCTTTAAAAAGCCCATCTGGAGTCCTAATTTGTTGCCCAGTTGTGCCAGGTTAGCTGCTGCTCCATGGCCTGGCACTGTAAACTCGGCTGCTGTGGCATAAAGCAGGAAAAATGGTTTGCCAGGAATGACTAGAAAGAGGCCTTGGAGGGGTTTTTTTCCCTTGTAATGTGATAAAATGGTATAAGAAGCATTCATTGTGTTAATACTTCAGCAGTTCCTGTCACGTGAGATTCCTTTTAAGGAATCTGGAATATCTTTTCTTGTTCCCAGGTGCTGTAGCACACAGCAGAGGAGAAGCAAAGGTGCCAGTCACCCAGCTGGCTGCTGTGAGATGGACCTTCTGGGAACACCAAAGCACTGGCACTGGTTTAAAGCTTCCCATACTGTCTCAACCTTCACTGCAAGCAGGCCTGTGCCTTGTCTTGCTGTTCCCAAGGACCAGACAAAGCCAGTTACTGCACAGAGGGCAGCTCATCACTTGCCTTCTTCAGTGACTGAAGTTTCCATCTCTTTACACAGTCCAAGAACAAGAGCTTGGTGGTTCAGAGACAGGGTGAGGAGGGGAATGTGCTGCTGAAGCAGCTCCTGAGCAGGTAGTTGGCTAAGTCAGCAGCTGTGGCTGCTGCTGCAGGAGGTTTTGGTGTCACAGACTTGCAAAATGGTTCCTCCGTGCAAATTTGTGTGTTGGACAGGAGGATTTCCTAGAAGGAGAAAACAGCTGTTTGAATTGGGCTGTTTATGACTCATTGATGCTCTAACAATCAATTTAGGCACACTGCCTTGTTAAGTGATTTCTTACTGTTTGCTTAACTGCTTAATTTGGGATCCTTGAAGGAATCACCAGGTGGAATAGATGGAAAAACACTCCCTTCCTAGAACTTAACCAGCTGTCATGTGGTTTTTTGAAATAAACTCCTTGCTAGACACTGTTCTGTCTAACTTGTGTTCATTTGAATTAGCCTGCTCCAAATAGACATGAGTGAGGACAAGAGCCTTTTTCAGGCAGCAGCAAATGACTGAATATTCTGTATTTTCTCCTGGAACTTTAAACAGGTAAAGCAGCATTTCAGAGTTGGAGCTGATGAGCCCCAGTGCCCTTAGTTAATGATCAGGTGTATGTGGTGGCCCAAGCAGTGCTTGAACAGCTGTAGCCATGTGCCTGTTCAATCTAAGGATCAGTGGTGGTTGTTTCTCTGGAGTCTCCCCCCATCCTCCCCACTAAAATTGAGCAGTTCTCTGTCAGATGGAAAAGGTTCCACATGACAGCTAATGATTTGCTTAATAGCGTGGTTAAGCACCAGTGCAATCAATCCAGTGACAGAGTTGAAATTATCTCCTAATTACATTGAGAATCAAAGAATTCCTGGCTTATGGGGAAAGGAGGGAAGCAGGGAAAGAGTTTGCATTTCAATGCAGTTCTAGGAAGGTTCAGGGCATGAAAAGAAGTCCCTGTCACCTCATCAAGGTGAGCAGTGACACTTGCTGAGTTACCTCCAGCCAGATCAGAACAAGCGTTTTTAAGCCTCTTACTGGGCTGAAAATAGTGTGGGAAAGCCTATTGAAATCTGTTTG